AGCGCGCAGGACTCCGGGCCCCCGGCCCCATGTGCCTGGGTGGGGTAGCCTGAGCATGAGTGGGGGGCTCCTGCTCAGACAGAGGTGCGCGGCGCTCGGCTGTACCCGGGGCGTCTGCCAGCCTTATTTTACAGACGCCCCTGCAGCCCCGAGAGCCGAGGTCTTCCGCAGGGATGGGAGCTGGGATGGCACGGGCACGGGGACAAGGACGGTGAGCAGGGACCACACGCCCCGTCCAGCTCCCACGCTGGACACTCTGGGACACCGGAGGACAGGGATGCCCCAGCAGCCCGGCCCAGGCTCCAGGCGTCCCGCCCTCAACCTTGGCCCCGGCGATTAGATAGCAGCCATGCCTGGGCGAAGGGGGACCCCACCCAGCCGCCCCAGGAGCAGCCACGGCCCAGGCACGTGGCAGGTAGGCTGCATGTCCCCACACAGGGGATGACGGAGGGCCTGTGGTGCCCCCAGTGAGGATGGTCACGGGCAGACGGGATCTTTCCGAGAGCCAGAACAAGCCCCGGGATGCCCACAGCCCGACAGGAACCTATGGGGCTCCTGCTGCGTGCCGGGGAGGGGCCATGGCACTGCCTCTGGGAGCTCCGGGCTGGTGGGAAGGGGACGACCACCCCACCCCACAGACCTGGGGCAGAGGGGAGGAGCGATTCAGAGGTGGGCACCCTGCAGGGCCTTTGGGGGGGCAGGACCCAGCCTCGGAGCACCGCCCTGACACCGCGGCTAGGCCGGCTGCCCGTTGTGCGCCTCCGTCTGTCCACCTGTGGGATGGGGGGCGAGTTCCCCTCGGAGGGTTAAATGAGGTGGCAAGTGGAGGGGCTCCCTCCTGGCAACAGCCCAGAGCACCAGGCGAGGCCCGTGCCCATGACTGCTATTGTTGGTTATAGCGGACTCACCAGAGAGAGAGACAGAGAGGGAGAGAGACAGGGAAAGCGAGACATCACCCCCCAGGGAGACGGCCATGCAGCGCTCGCTTTGTCATCCTCCTCTCAGGACGTTAGGCATGTATGCACACGCGCCCAGTGTGATTCTCTGGCTGCCGGGTCTGGGACTCGAACCCCGTGGCTGGCCTTGTGGGATCCAGCCGCCTCTACCACGCCACCAGCCGGCCGATGCTTTTTTCGTCTTTGTTTAATGGTCTAGGGTTTTAGCCTACAGGTTGTCACGGCTCGGCCCAGGCTGACGGGTTGGGCTCTGGGAGGCAGGAGTGAGAACAGCCGGGTTCACACAGCAGGCCCTGAGGGGCGCCCCCCTTACACACACAGGTCCCCAGTCCACGTGAGTTCTGCCACGGCCGGGCCGGGCTAGGCCAGGGGCAGCCCCGCTCAGCCCAGCCTCCAAAAGGAGCTTCGGGGGTCCTTGAAGGAGATGGAGGGGTGGCGGGAGCCCTGGGCAGGCTGGGCGGCCGGGGCCTCCTCGTCCCCGCCACCCCCGTCCTCCTCGCCCTGCCAGGCCAGGGCCAGCTTCAGGTCCAGCTCCTCCAGGTCCTCCCCCGCCAGGCTGGGGCGCCGCTCGCGGGGCGCGTCCTGCTGGTCTGGCT